GTGCGATTCTTCTTTTATTGGTTACTAAGTTTAATTTGTCCTGAAGTTTTGATTTTTGATATCCGCTACGGATTATAAAAGCAAAAAAAGTGGCATCCGGCTCTGAAGGCTATATGGATAATAACGGTTCTAAGAAGAAGACTAGAGCCAAGGCTCTGCGGCTTCAGCATCTGCCTCTTGTTAGTCCTATCGAATCTCCTCTCCTTTCTGGACATTGATTTTGGTCGAGACTGAGTTATACGCTATGCTCCACAGGATATCCTACGTGATGTATTGTCACGGCTGGAGTTCAAAGAAGCTGCGCGAATGAGCATACTGTCTCGTAAGTGGCGAGGGCTTTGGAGATGCTACGAGAACCTGGTGTTCACTAGGGAGACGATGTTCAGCAGCGGCAGCAATGCAGTCAAGAACCGACAGAAGTTCATCAGCAATGTCAACAGTGTCGTGCGTCAGCTCAGGTCCAGTGGCGGAGCTACCTTAGGGCCATGGCCCCCTTGCCGTGCATCAAGTTTCATAGTTGGCATGTGTAAGTGCATGTATATTTCCCCACTGTCTATTGGCATAGCTACATACATAGTTTTTTTGTCTGTTACTACTGACTAGATGCCTGATACATGCAAGCTTGCTAGCTATGGTACCATGCTTGCCTATAACAGTACGTTCTTGAGGCCCGTTTGGCCCCTGCTTGCTTTGAGCGCTAGCTCCGCCACTGCTCAGTTCTACCATTCTGAAAAAGTTTGTGGTTAGATTCAAGCTCCGCAAACGACAGACCCGCCATGTTGACAGATGGGTTAGCTTCTCTGCTATGTCGAAGGCGAGGCACATTGTCGTTGATTTCTCTCAGGGGTCCTGGGGCGATGACCATGACAGCAGGTATATCCTTCCGCTGCATAATTTCAGCGGCTCCAATGGCTCTTCTGTTAGATCATTGCGCCTCATGTTTCTCTGCTTGAATCCACCACCTGATTTCTGTGGCTTCACAAATCTCAAGAAGCTTAAGCTTGATGCAGTGTCGATCCCTGGACATCTCCAGTGCCTGTTGCCAGAGTGTGCCGTTCTTGAGTGGTTAAGCATCGTGCGCTGTACCCTGCGTGGCTTGCAAACGTCGCAGCCATTGTATCGGTTGCGCTACTTGCGCGTGCAACATTGCAATGGGATGCAAAAGGTTGAGATCCAAGCTCCAAACCTTGATGTATTCAAGTTTCACGACAGTCCGAAGCCAATTGTGCTCAATGGATGCTTGGCCCTAGCAGAGGCGACTGTTGCGCTGCTAGCATCGTCTGACTGTTTTAACTATGCCTTCACAGAGCTTCCATGTGGTATCCCTCATGTGCGGAAATTCAACATGGAACTTATCATGTGCGGAAACTCAACATGGAACTTCTAACGAAAATTTAATACGTTTTCATGTGCTTTAATTATGGATTTTCTAAATGACTGCCCCATGTGTCAGATGCTGCAGAAGCAACAACAACAAAGTCTTTAAGTCCTAAACAAATTAGAGTAGGCTAGAGTTAACCTAGCAGAAGCGATCAAAAGGTTCAAGCACGTGAATAGCTGTTTTCCAAACACTTCTATCTGGTAAGTCTTTGGGTATATTCCATCCTTTCAAGTCTCCTTGTATTGTCTCTACCCAAGTCAACTTCGGTCTTACTCTGCCTCTCTTCACGTTATTATCCTGGCTTAAGATTCCACTACGCACCGGTGCCTCTGGAGGTCTCCGTTGGACATGTTCAAACCATCTCAACCGGTGTTAGACAAGCTTTTCTTCAATTGGTACTACCCCTAATCTATCACGTATATCATCGTTCCGAACTCGATCCCTTCTTGTATGACCACAAATCCAACACAACATACACATTTCCGCGATACTTATCTGTTGAACATGTCGTCTTTTCGTAAGCCAACATTATGCACCATACAACATAGCAGGTCTAATCGCCGTCCTATAAAACTTGCCTTTTAGCTTATGTGGTATCCTTTTGTCACATAGGACACCAGATGCTTGGCGCCACTTCATCCACCCTGCTTTGATTCTATGGCTAATATCTTCATCAATATCTCCGTCTCTCTGTAGCATTGATCCTAAATATCGAAAGGTATCATTTCTAGGCACTACTTGACCTTCCAAACTAATATCTTCCTCCTCCCGAGTAGTAGTGCCGAAGTCACATATCATATACTCAGTTTTAGTTCTACTGAGTTTAAAACCTTTGGACTTCAAAGTCTCCCGCCATAACTCCAGTTTCTGATTCACTCCTGTCCGGCTTTCATCAACTAACACTACATCGTCCGCGAAAAGCATACACCAAGGGATGTCCCCTTTAATGTCCCTTGTGACTTCATCAATCACTAAGACAAACGGATAAGAGCTTAAAGCTGACCCTTGATGTAGTCCTATCCTAATCTGAAAGTCATCCGTATCTCCATCACTTGTTCGAACACTAGTCACAACATTTTTGTACATGTCCTTAATGAGCCCGACGTACTTCGTTGGGACTTTATGTTTGTCCAATATCCACCACATAACATTCATTGGTATTTTATCATAAGCCTTCTCCAAGTCAATAAAAACCATGTGTAGGTCCTTCTTCTACTCCCTATACCACTCCATAACTTGTCTTATTAAGAAAATAGCTTTCATGGTTGACCTTCCGAGCATGAAACCAAATTGGTTCATAGAGACCCACGTTATTGCTCTCAAGCAATGCTCGATAACTCTCTCCCATAGCTTCATAGTATGGCTCATCAACTTAATTCTCCGGTAATTAGTACAACTTTGAATATCCCCTTTATTCTTGTAGATCGGTACCAATATACTTCTCCTCCACTCGTCAGGCATCTTGTTCGATCAAAAAATATGGTTGAACAGCTTGGTTAGCCATACTATAGCAATGTCCCTGAGACATCTCCACACCTCGATTAGGATACCATCCGGTCCTATCGCCTTAACTCCTTTCATTCTTTTCAACGCCTCTCTGACCTCAGATTCTTGGATTCTCCGCACAAAGCGCCTATTGGTGTCATTAAAAGAGTCATCCAACTGAAAGGTTGTGTCCGTATTCTCACCATCTTGTCTTGACCATGGAGATGTTTAGACATCATGATGAGCACACTGGTGGTATTATTCGTCTTGCTGACCTTTTGGAGTTGGCTCCAGTTTTGGAAGAACTGGAACTGCATGTAAGTTATCTCTTCAGCAATATTCTATTCATGGTCCCATTGAAGTTTTTGTTATATATACCATCATATGTTTGTGTATCATTCATGTGTTATGGCGGCTTAGCTGTTGCGTAACCTTTTTTTTTTCCATTTTATGCAACTGAATACTTCAAATTTGTGAAAGTTTAGCTTGCACTTCTATACTGCTATTGTGAAAAATGTCCTCCATGGACAGCTTGCTGAACGTAAATTTAGCCATCTAGGTGGTTTCAAAGGCGTTTTTTGTTAAAAAAAATCATAACTAATTCATTTTAAATCAAAATATATGAAATTAATACCAAAATATTTCTAAAAATATAATCTATCAGTTGCCAGTTTTTGTTGTTTTCAGAAAATACAAAACCACCTTTTAAATAAACCAGCTAGATTGCTAAATTTGTGTATTGATAGGTAGATGGTAAAAAAAATGGGTTTATAGTTGTATGACTGAAATAGACTTTCCCTAACTTTTTTATGATGTGGTTAGATGAGAAATAATTCTGCTAATTGCAATCTACGTATAATTACTAGTCCATATGAAACTAATACCAAAATATTTCTAAAAATATAATCTATCAGTTGCCAGTTTTTATTGTTTTCAGAAAATACAAAACCGCCTTTTAAATAAACCAGCTAGATAAAAAGGGTTCAGAGTTGTATGGCTGAAATAGACTTCTAACTTTTTATGATGCGGCTTACTCTTAGATGGGAAATAATTCTGCTAATTGCCATCTATGAATAATTACTAGTCCATATGAAAACTTTTTGGAATTATTTGTTTGCAGATGGAGTGGCATGGCACGGGGCAATTTATCCTGGGACTTGAGGACATACTGCCCCAGAGGCCACACAATCATCTGAAGGTGCTTCAGATGACTGGAGTGTACAGCTACAAGAGTCTGTTTGATCTTGTACTTTATATTGCTCGCAATGCCACTGCACTCCAGCGCATGGTCATTGATCCAATGGCGAAAAAAAATTATGCTCTCACCCGTGATGAGGAAGCACAATTTGCGATCGGTTGGGGCCGGAAGATGGCGAAACAACACCTCCAGGGAAAGGGGTTTGATGGCATCCTTACTATCTTGTAATAAGGCAATATAGTACTAAAAACAACAAATAATTGGAGAACCTATATTGTCTAATAATTTGTTAAGATAAAAGGGAGACGTGTTCTTGTGCTTACTGCCATTTATTTCGAATTTATTTGTTTTGCTTATTTCTCCAAATAAATATACAACAACAACAGCAACAACAAAACCTTTAAGTCCCAAACAAATTAAGGTAGAGTAGAGTTGAAACCCAACAGATGCAATCAAGGTTCAGGCACGTGAATACCTATTTTTCAAGCACTCCTGTCTAAGAATAAATATATGTTCTTGAAATATATTTCTTGGAGAATTTAAAGAAACTAATTTTCTAGAGTCTTGGTAACCAAAGCGAGCCTCTTTAACCAAGTTTTTGGCAGGCATTTGGTTTGCTACCTAAACTTGCAACATCTCACATTTGGCTTGACAAATCTATGTAAAATATTTTTGTCCAACTTTTAGCAACTTTTGCTTACCAAAACCTTTGGCATGGCAAATTTTGATAGCAAACCATACACTCCAATAAGTTGAGAAGGAAATTTGGAACAGATAGGAGATGCCTTAAAGGCACTGTGGCCTTCTAATAAACGCAGCAAAAAAAAAATGCATTTACATCAGATGCGATTCTTTGTCATTGGGCGGCGTCAGTTGCAACAGCAGCTACAAAATTGGCAGCACGCATAAGCAAAAACCAGATTCTCAGCTAGATATTCAGGCTTCAACAGAGACATCATTGCTGTGTCCACTCGAGGCAACCTTCACCTTCTTCTCTTGCCTTGCCCTTTTACTTGATTTCCTGGATTTTCTCTTCTTGCTTGACTTCTCTGGTACAGGTGAAGCAGGCCGAGGCTCTGCAAGTTCACCGTTCTCCACAGATGAACCATTCATTTCATCTTTGATTGTGCCCGCATCTACATCTGGATCTACCACGGACATTCGCATCAGTGTATAGTCCAACAGAAACGTGCTTCGGACTAGTCTATCGACTCTGCTGAAATGCCTCTGCGAATACGGAATAAGGCCCTCAAGGAGCTCACTGATGCCCTTGATCTGCAGAGATAAAAGCACAAATCATCTCATGAGAAGAAGCAAAAGTTTGTAAGACCATGAACACATTCTTAATAAATGTTAAAACGCCTTAGGAAGAGGGAAGTTAAAACAGCTTAGGAAGAGGGAAAATTTATTACCTCCAGGATATCAGTGGGAGAAAACTCCTCAATACCTGAAAAAGCACAAACTGTGCAACATGACAGAACTTGGGCTTCGTATTCCATTCACGGACATACTCAAGAAGCACGCGGAGGCCATCCTTTGGAAGACCAAGAAGAGCCTTTTCTATTGGATCCTCTGCATCAGCTCTCCTGCAAACCCAATGATGTATAACATCATGCTAATAATTTAAAACGGCTGATTTCATTGAATCAAGAAATAGTACCTGGCAAGCTGTGAGAATAAATCTAGAAGCCTGTGTGGTCTTCTAAGCTCAAATGCAAGTTGTATTGCCTTTGCATAGTCAGAATCTGACACAGCATTTTCCAATTCCTGGCCTCTTAAAACTTCTTCCTCCTGCAAGAAATGATGAATTTGAGTGTTGCATATGCCTGACATAGTGACATATGCCTGTATAGATCCCTAAACCCAACAAACAGAGGCAAAGATGAATATATCAAGAATATGGTAAACTCACAGATATATCATATATCATATGCCAATGATATACACAAGGTCTAACGTCAGGTATTTCACAGTTTTCTTCCAGTAATATATATTACATAAAAGCAAGCACATCTTGTTTGCAATTATATATTATGCTAAAAGTGTAACAGAAGGATTCACTTGCCTTCTTACGGAAATCTTCCTGCTTATCTTCCATGGTGCAATCATGCCACAGGTTGAGGACAGAATCAGTTCCACCAGTAGCAACCATTTCAGTTTTCATGCCAACAGCCAATGCCCAGACCTGTGGAACAAATAATAGTGAGTTTTGAGTCCCCTCCAGCAATGAGACAAAAAAAAAAACTCTACCCTGATGCATGGCAATGATATCATACCTTCCCATCATGCTTATCATAAGTAGCAATGCATTCATTTGTCTTGATTGTCCATAACTTCACTAGGCCATCACTTCCTGAATTAAGGAGCATCAGAAGAACAGAGTCAACAAGACTCCCTAAAGGCTAAAGATAATAACTTAGATGAACATCTTATTTCCTATTACCACAAGAAACAACTTGAGTTCCACGTGAAAGGAAAGAAGCTCGCAGAACACTTGATGTATGACCCTCAAATGTCTTCAAGCATGAGCCATCAGCAACGGACCATATTTTGATTGTTCTATCACCAGAGGATGTCATGACACATTGTTCAACAGGAGAAAACTCAACTGACCAGATTCCTCTTTTGTGTCCCTTAAGGACAATAGAGGACACTAGGTTAGGGAGTTTCCATATGCAAGCAGTTCGGTCCTACAAAATAAAGGTGATAATATATAATGAAAACCACATGATGTAAGCCAGATAAAAGGATAAGTCACATCAAAAAGAACTACACCCTCCTTTCCAAATTATAGGTCATTTTATCTCCGTCCTAAGCCAAATTTATAAATTCTGACCAAGTTTTTAGAAAAAAATATATTAGCATATATAATACTAAAAAAAGTATCAAGATATATTTTATGGTGGATTTGATGAAACTATTTTAATGTTGTAGATATAGTGAATTTTTCAATAAACATGCTCAAAGTTAGAGAAGTTTGACTTAGGACAAAACCAAGTGACCTATAATTTGGAATGGAGTATCATGCTACCATCTTACCTCAGAACCACTGCAAACAAGGCCATCATTAGGTGAAATTGCCAGAGAATTAATATCTTTATCATGTGCAGCTACAACAGCCTTTGCTTTAAGAGGGACTTCATCTTCAGCATCACTAAGTGTATTGTCCCAGGTCCATACCTTGATGGTTCGATCACTAACAAAAAGATAGTCTGATTTTAGAATAACAATTTTGGTGTCACTTCAGGCAAACAAAGATTACAGACAAACTGAAGAGCAAACCTGCTGCCACTAACAAAAAAAGTTCTTTGTTTTCTTTGAGAAGGCAACAGAACCAACAGCTCCCAGATGGCCTTTGCCAATGCCAATACAGCTTTTTCTTTCAGCATCCCATAACCTCACCTGTGTAAAAAAGGTCACACTCAAAAATAGGAAAAGCAGCACAAGAATGCACTCGACAGCAGTGAGGATTATCAAAGAAACCACAAACAAAAACGTTATGGTAAGTCAACACAGTTTTCAGGTCCAGACATCACAACTTACAGTATTATCCTTGCTCCCAGTTACAACAAGTGTCTTCCCGGGAAGCAGAGACACAGGTGTCAATGCAAACAACTATTTCAGTGTGGCCAGCAAGTACATAAGAACATGACATTGACGCAACATCATAAACACGGACCTGAATATGGAGGTAACAGTTGATAAGTTTCGAGTGCATTAGCCAACAAGAACTGTGCAGACATCATTTATGAATAGCTCACCTGCTCCAAGTTGGTAGCTACAGCAAGATATTGTTCGTCCTCCCCAACAAACTTCAAGTCAAGAATCTCATCATTATAACCTATTAGTCGTCTATATAGGGACAGTTCAAAGGTCCCATCATCAGTTCTTTTGGGACAATAGAACAAAAACTGCTGATCAGCAGTAACACAGAGTAATCTTTGATCATTTGGCAACATAACAGCAGATGTAAAGCCCCTCCTGGTTTCCTCGTTCTCTGAGTTAACAGTTACATCAGATGTTTGCTGCTCGAACACGCAAAGAGAACTGTAGAAGACCAGAAAAGCCATTGATTGCATGTACTACAGAAATATGCAAAGAACAAAAGAGGATGTAAATGCAAACTAATGTACCTCTCCAAGCACCAGATGCGCACAACCCCACGTTCACCAACTGTAAGAAAATAACCGGCCGCTTTCTCCTTTATATTTGCCAGTTCTATGCCCAAACAAGCCAAGAGCTCACTTCCTGATCCAATGAAGGAAACAGCTTCTATCATTTCATATGTCGGTATTGTCTTCTTTGAGCTGTACTTACGAATATCCCATGCAGTAACAATCTGCAGATGTTCCATACATTCAGAATAACACACAGAAAATGCACACCACAGTAAATGCCTCGTTAGAAATATCAAAATTCAAGTAAAAAGGGTACTCCTATGACCACCACATTTTGAGCACAAAGGTCCACACACAAAATGGGAGGAAAAGCTTCAACTTCTGACACTTCCAACAAGTTTAGACTGTTTTGAGCCCCTCAACTTACTCTATATAGTTCTGAAGAGCCCATGGAGCCCTAAGAATATACTACCTCCGGTCACAAAAACATGTCGTTTAAGACAAAATTTGGTCAAACCTAAAAAACTACAGACATCAATAACTATTACATTATTCAGTTTGGAAACATGTGTAGATTTGTAATCAAATGCCTGCAACATCTCTTAAATTTGAAGGATTTTAAGAAGAAAAATTGCTGGTCAAAGATAGACATCAAAGACCGCGCAAAGTCAAATTTGACAAGCATTTTTGACCGGAGGGATTATGAATATATTCCAGTACAAGGGAAGCATAAATGTTTCACTTTAAAACATATGTAATGATAGCAGAATGAAAGCTCTAGAATGAATAATAGACATGAGACCATTCATACCTTATCCCTCCCAGCACTGAGCAATGTTTGTCCATCATCAGACAATGTCAATGAAGTGACTGCCGAAAAATGCTCTTTAAGCACAGCAACACATTTTTTGGTTTCAAGGTTCCACACTCGCACGGTGCCATCTTCACTTCCTGAAAACAACTGGAGATCCAGCACACAAAGGTTATATTGGGCTCATCAAAAGGAAGTGGAATACACTGCATAAAAATAATGAAGTGATTTGAACTAGCAAGCTCCCAGAGCCATTTTCGGTGATCCAGTTCAATAAAAGCACAATTCCTTATCTTCAAATTGTCCTCACCAGAAGGCGCTTTGGATCTTTGTGGAACATAATGGTCGTCACAACGCCTGTATGGCCTCTAAGGAAATGGGTGCAAAATCCACCATCGACATCCCATACACAGACCTTCTTGTCTGCTCCGGCAGTTGCAAGCAAACCACCAGAAGCATGGCATGCCATGGCCATGATAGGACCATCATGTCCCTGTACGGCATAAGTTAAATACATTAGTTTACCTCACATGGCAGTATACTAGCATAGTATTATTAACATAATAGCATCAGCAAGTTTTAATTGTAAAAGATGTTAGCCTGTAGTGGTAAATCAGCCATACAGTCTCTAAGTTAACTAATTAACACAACAATCAGTATGGCAGGATTAAGATCAATCAAACAATGAAAAATTGAAAAGCTGTGCACAAGCTCTGTAACAAATTAGTATGTCTGATTGTAACATCACGGTGGTCAGTGGAAATAACAACGGTATCCTTTATCTTTGCAAAATTAAACAGAAAAGATAAGAAGGTAACACTAAGACATTACAATACAGCATCACATTTAATTTAACCCTTTACAAATCACAATTTATGAAAAGCAGTGCATGATTTCTGGTATTTTAGGCGTGTGCAACAAAATGCTTTTTGTAAGGAAACTACTAGTCTCTCATAGATTTATTGCAAAGCTCTTGAAGAGCTTCTAAAACTTCAATCCATTTAACTTCCCACGGTTACTATACAATGACCCCTATCCCTACCAACACACTGTAACCAAAACATCAAACGAATAATGTTACAGGTTGAAGAGCTGAATAGCTTAGAATATGTGCAGTTGACAGTTCTGACATTCACACAAGGATACAAGCTTCCTAAGCTTAGGGCAACTAGATTTAAGCTATCTTTTAAACTGTCAAACAACTACCAGAACTCCGAGATTTTTGTTATGCCGTGAATAAGCTCCGGATTACTTTATAGCTAGATACAGGGTCATCTAGCAGCATTCACGTAAAATTGATTTCCTGTGGTCGAATTCACTAATCCGTGCACAGCAATGTGGATACCAGGAGCAGTCACCACAAAACACAGGACGGCTCAATACTCACCTTCCAGCTGCGTATGCAAGTTCGGGACGCGAGGTCCCAGACCCTAATAAGCCTGCTGTGCCCCGCGGCGAAGATGAGCCGTGAGTCGGGGGACAGCGCCAGCGCGGTGATGGCCTCCGAGTCGCCGTCGATGGGCTCCCCTATGGCGGAGGCGTCCGCGGCGGACACCACGCGCACCTCCCCACCGCACGCGCACGCGAGGAAGGTCTCAGCCTCGGCGCCGCCATCGCCGTCGCCGCCGGGGGCGAGCCCGACCGCAAAGGGCCCGCCAGTGTAGAACTGCTGCAGGGAGCGGTCGCAGCGGTAGTTCTTCTTAAGAACATGCGTCGAAGCCATGGCTGGTTCTGGCGGGCGCGGCAACGGCGGGGGGTCGTCCGAGCTAGGGTTTTGCGGCGGGGGACGGGGGCGGCGGCGCGGGAGGAGGTGGAGGGAGAGAGGAGGGGGTTTAAGCAAAGTCAAAGCAGGGAAAGCGAAGGGGCTGTCGCCGAAGTGTGGGTCCCGCCGGCAGGCGTCAGCGAAACAACTTGGTGTACGTCTAGACTTTTTTTTTTTTGACACGGAAAAATCAAATCAACTCGCCTCCTCTTTTGAACAGAGGACAATCAGGTGGAGGAACTGGGCTGTTTCTTGTTTTGGGACAAGGAACTGGGCTATTGGGCCTCTCTCTGCTGGATAGGGCAAGCCGACGTCGGGTTGGGTTGGGCCAGGGTCACATTTTCTTTCCACCAGTTTTTTAAGTCTCATTTACCTCTTGAAACATCGGCTTGTCTAATTTTTATCCTTATATAAACTCTAAAATCTGATATCTTAACCTCTCAACTATAAAATATCTAGGATTTATTTAAACACTGATCAGAATATTTTGAAAACATTTCAATTTTCTAGATATTTTTCTTACTTTCCTACAACTAAATCTATTTTTATGAAATTTTTAGAGATACTTTCAAGTTGTATAAATATATTATTTGTGTTAGTCGTGTTCTATCTATTTCTAGATTTTCAAAAAAAAAGATGCTTAAAGGCATTTTCTGGTTTAAAAACCTTATGAGGTATGAAATTGTCTTGAAACAACTTCTAACTTTGTGTAGAATCTCTACCCTATAATAAAACACTTCTAATTATCCTCAAATACCAAAAACAAATCCCACCTCTAGCTTTATGACCTAAACTAAATCACCCCACAAACGACCGCACAAAAAAATATAACATTAAAAAACGTGCACCAAATTAACCCTCACTCATTCTCTCTCCTACTCAACCACATCCGACTACCGATATTCTTTGGATCTCCCACCCCGATCTCCCCACTTCATCGCCCACCACCCCGAGTCCGTGATACGTATCATCATCCTCCTCCTCCTCCTCCTCCGGTCCGGCGAAGGAAAGTCGGTCGCGCCCACTATTCACGCCACAACAACCCCGATCCTGTCAGCTACGGCTCACGAGCCCTGCACGCTTCCTTCCGATCGCGTCACCCCTAAGCCTTCGCTTTCGCCAACCACAGCTCACTGGCTTCCTCGCCGTCCGTCGTGCGTGCTCACGCTCGCCGCAATCGCGGCCATGGTCTCATCCCATCCTATGCCCACCCTCGTGCAGATTCGGTCTGTTCTCTGGTTGGATCGGGAGGAGTAGAGCGAAAACAGCGTGGATCAAGATTTAGATTTGAATTGAACTCGGAAGACGGGGAGAGGAGGAGGCCCATTCATGGAGAAGGAGGGGAAGCAGAGCTAGGGTCCCGCCGAGGCGCGGCCGGTTGGTGGGTGAGGTGGGGGTTACGGGTGCAGGGGCTTACGCCTTTCCCTAGTCAAGCGCCAATTTCTTCCTCAAGGACGGCATGGGCGTCGCCGCCTCCTCATTGCAGATCTCGAGGTCTCCGCCAACCCGCCCATGGTCACCAACGCTAAACCTGTTTCCGCCTCCTCTCGATGCCGTCCCCATACGATCACGAGGCATCGCCCTGCCTCTACGTCGCCATCAAGCGGTATGCCCTCGGCCATTCTCTTTACTATCCTGTATTCAGTATTTCCTGCCTAGATCTCGAACCCACGTCTGCCATCACCAATTCAAGTCATCATTATTCTCCTCATTTTCGTTATAGCCTATTAAGCCTAAATGTACCTGTTAAGCCTGAATGTGCTGCTTTATATAGCAGGAACATATAGCAGTTTGTTGATCCTATATAGAGGAACCAGAAAATCATTAGAAAAAAAAAAACATGGTCTTGTAATTTTGTATAGGAACAGAGAATTCAGAACTGAAAATTTAAAATATTATTTTTGCCTCGTTTCCCCTTGCAGGCACCAGATGGGTTCCCTCCGTGGCGGCAAAGCCTCAAGGCCAGCGTCGGAGCCCCACTGAACGGTGGAGGTGGCCCGAAGAGCCTTTCGAGCGTCTAGCGTCTAACAATGGCGTGGCTTCGTCGTTGGAGCTACCGTGTGCGAGTCTTCCTCCCAACGTCGGAACTTGCTCTCTGCCGGTGAATCGACAGGCGAGGAAGAGGGGGGGGGCAAGGAGCGTGTAGGCAGCCCGATCCCCATGGATCGATAGATCTGGGCGGGAGCTTGGATCTTGGCCGAAGGGCTGGTGTGCAGCAAGGAGGTAGATCGACGGCCGGTGCGCGCCGCTGCGTTGAAGGGGAGGAGGGTCAAGAATTGGGCGAGGTCCATCCGAATAGAGATTTTTGTTCTCGAATCTATAACTATCACATTCACCGAGGACGGATTTTTATGGACATGACTTATTATTCCTGGTTGTGCATGAGTGTTTTTCAGATGATATATATGGTAATATAGAATTGCATGAAACTTAAATTATGAAAAAAAATATTGTTGTTTTATTGTTTTCATGTGCATCCCTGAAATGAAGCCGTGGCGTTAGCACGGGCACTATACTAGTGTAGGTAATGCGTGGCTTTTTTTTAGAAAAGGGAATAATATTCCGACCTCTGCAAGAGTTTTACACACAACCATCCATTATTATAACAAAGTATCCTTTACCTAAAAGAACTAAACTAGCAAAAAGCAATAAAACGTTGGAAACAAAAAAGACAAATCAAAAGGCCAACTAAGCCTCAAGGCTATTAGAAGACATTCACTCATGCTTGGCGAAGATCTGCAACACAGTTATTTTCGAAAAATGGCAAGCCCACTTCATGGTCGCCCGAACGCTTTCCTTCTGTAATTGAGACCAAAATCGAGTACAATATGTAGCTCTAAAGATAACCTGCATATAAGAATATTTTCTTTTCGTATCAAAACAACGCCAAGCCCACTTCTTGGTAAAAAGGGATTTTTTTCTCTCTTTTTAAGCATTAGTAACGAACGAGACCAAATTCTTCTTCCGGCCTTGAATAGACCCATCCAGATCCTCGGGCTCAGTGGCGGAAACAAGGGGGGCCTGGCAGGGACCGTGCCCCCCCCTGACGCAGTGAAAATAGTTAATATTCAGTAAATATTTACTGCACAGTATAGTAAATCATCAATTTACTATGTTTTTTATCAATAATATAGTGATTTTTCGTTATGAATACTAACTACATGTCTATAAGTACTGAAAAAGTTATTGATACATATATTTATATACTTATTGTATATACTTGTCATACTTATGAGATGTAATCATGTTTGCTCGGCCCCCCTTAATCAAAATTTCTGGTTGCGCCACTCGGGCTTGAACGCCTTTCGTGAGTCAAACCGGGCAGTGCTCTACTGCTCAACCTGAGGAAGCAAAAACCGAAGTTTCTTGAAAAATTGGAGTCCATCATGATTCATCAGGGTGATCTCGCCATCAGAGGAAGCACCGGGCAGTCCTCACGATTTTCTGCTAAACATGGCGTTCCGTTTCGTCTCAGACGTATTACGAGTACGACCGAGGCTATCTTTACGTGGTAGATCTACTTATAAAAGCTAAAAGCGTCAGTCTTTCTGATCCATCAGGGTGATCTCGCCATCTGCTTCCGTTCCACTTCTACCGCTCGTCTTCTCCCTCCAAATTCCAGGCCGTGACGCGCGACAGCGTGACACAGAGGGAGACACCAAGGACGCCGCCGCGGCGTCCCTGTCCCGCGCTTAACTAACCGCGCGCAAAATCTCGCCACGACCCGGATCAGAGGCCGGAGCCGGCCCGGCAGAGGATCATCCACCTGTTTCGAGGAAAATCACGCCCGGCCGGCGTCTCCGGCTGTCACGGTCGATGGCGTGCCCTGCCTTGAAAAAGCCCCAACAATTGTATCTGCCCGAACCTTTCCCTTCGGCAGTTAGCGGTTGTCAGATTCCGCAGGTTACAGTCTGCAAAAGGCTGGCTCGCCGTCGCCGGCGAACAAAGTCGTCGCGGCGTGAGACGCGTGCATGCGTTTCATTCCGTCTCGCCCTGTCGCTCAACGGGGACGCCTGCGTTTGTTAAACATTCTCTCGCAGTCGCAGCTAGGGAGTAGTGGTTTGGTTCGCACGTCGGCGTCGAGTGATCGGCTTAGGTAAACGCGGCTCGTGACATCTCTCGCCGGCGAGTTGCGCCGTGCGTCAGGCACCAGCGTTTTTCAGCTGAGCCGGGCGTCAGCGGCGACGACGGACGACGGCGAGCACCATCCACCACTTGCCTTTGCGTT